TCCATTTGTCATCTCAGACTCCAATATGATTTTTGTTGGCTTAGATACAGTTCCCCCTCAGGCAGTTGCTAAAATAAAATACCCATTTGACTCTGTCTTACCACTGAGGGGAGATTTCACTTTGTTTCTGTCCGTCCGTCCATCCAATCATTGTATAATTGTTTCTTTTATTTCTCTCATTCTGATTCAGCAGTTTCAGTATCAATTAGTGGCTGATGGCAACGTTGTATATAAAAAAAGAAAAAGACACAAATCAAAATGAGCAGTTCAAAATAATGAAAGAATTGCATATTCTTTGTGTAACTGTACTGGGTGTATAGCTGATAAATGAGATCTCTGTGTTGCTGAAGTTAAGACTAAGCAGGTTTAGAGATTTGATCTTGGCAGAGAACAGAACAGCCTGTCCCAAACGTTTTCAGGATGAATTGCTCAGCAGTTTCACCGATGGAGGGCAGGAAGTGTTTAAACCACGTCACGTCACGTATTCTCTGATAATAATGTGAAGGCTCTGGTGCACTATTACTATAGATTGTATTGTTTTGTTCTAATTCATACTTTCTTAGTTTAATTTCTATATGCTGCTTCTGAAGGAAAGCATCCAGTATGGTGACTGAACCGAGATGTTGCGTTTCCTGTTGTGCACGTTACACTCATTGCCCTCAACTTTGAGCTATTTTTTTTTTTGTTGTTTTTTGTTGCTGCACCTTGTGTTTGGGAATCCGTCACATGACGTTTCTTGGTGTATTTAAAGGGACAGTATTATGTAAAATAGACTGTTTTTCAGCTTTGCATCATCTTATATTATCTCCTCATTCAAAACACATTTGGAGTGTTGCCTTGAATCACTTGTGCATCTTTGAGGAATCCTTCAATCTCCCATGGAAACCATTCAACTGTGCAAAACACCTGGGTGGACCTAGCCCCGCCTTCAAGGACAAAGCTCCTCCTCAGAGCTACAGTTCCCGAACTGTCGCACCTCCACTCCCTCACTCAGTTCCTGCAGACCAGTCAACCCTTTACTCCTGTAACTATAGGAGATACTTAGAACAACTCTTATAAAAGCATAGTTAGAGGGTTAATAGAGAAGCCATGTTGTGATGACTTTCTGAAGGCAGAGTTTTAAAGAAAGCAAAAGTTTTTTTTAAAGAGACAGAGGCCCAATTGCAAAGAGTTAAATTCCAAAGTCCAATTTCTTTTAAGTCATATTTGACATATGGGTTTTTCTAGCATGGTTATTTAATTGTGTTATAAAATGACATTATGTACCTAAAATACTTTAACGGCCATCGGCTTGATTTCAGTGGGGCTCTCTGACTGGTTAGTTTGGCTCTCCTCTCCGCTGGTCTTTGGTGACTGCTCTGCCTCCTTTAACACGGAGGCTGTCAGAATTGAAGGCCTGGCTCCTTGAACAGCCTAGCTAGTAGATAGCCAACCGCCATTAGCCGGCGCCTGCTGTGAGAAGCGTGTGGATGGATTCCAAAGCAGGTTTGATTCCTGTCACACTGAAAATAAAGCAAATAGGCTCAGTGAAAGTCTGTGCTTATTCTAGCATTCAACTTCTAGAAATATTGTTGGTAATTCTAACTGACTCTAACAGGGGGGGGGGGGGGGGGAATATCTGATTTAATGTCAGGGGGTTAGAAATATAAGGCCATTTTCTTGTACAGTGGATGGAAATATGTTGTTTCTGCTGTATTTCTTTATTCATGGTGGGAAAAAAACAAAACCAACCAACCCGCTGCACCTTGGCTAAATTCAGCCGGTTCGTTCCTCTGAGGCAAAATCGTGTAAACTAAGCCTCGTTAATTTAGCTCATTAGGTGAGCAGAAACCTGTTTGATTGGAGGCAGTTGGAGCCCTTCCGCTCTGATGCAGCAGTGGTATTTAACTCACCATATTGGCTGTTTGATGGCTGCACCTCAGGGTCATGTTCTGTGACATGGTTGTTGTCCCAATGCCACCCCTCCACACACGCACACACACGCAGCCTGTAAGGGGCTTGGCAGACCCCTGCTTCCCCCCTCTCTAATCATGTGTTCTCCAGGGGGCGTGCAGCCATTCTCGCTGCTCTTTGCGAAAGCTTGGCATTTGTCTGAGATCTCATTTCTGTAATTCATCGCTCGTCTCCTGGGAGCCAAGGTTGGCACCGGCGATGCCAAGTCCTCCCTCCTCCTTCATACGCTCTCGCACTCTTTTAAAGCCCCTTCCTCCCCACTCGCTGTGTCGGCCTTTCTTGCTGTTTAGCCTCTGTTGTTGTTTGTTGTTGCCCTGGAAGTGGCTCTGACTGCAGCTAAACCGGTGGGTGTACACACATTAAAACACACGCGTTTGAGCCCAAGGAAGTCCTTCTCGTGCAAATGTCTCGAGAAAAAGACTCAAATGAGGCTCCAAGGACCGGACAGATCACTGAGGGTGTTCTTTTGTCTTTTCTTTTGTTGGAACAAATAGTCTTATAAGAAGTACTTGCTTATGTCTAAATTTTTCAGCTCATCTAGGAAATTTCCTGTCCCACAAAAATCACCTGAGAAAGATTATGCTTTCAAATGATTTCATTTATTAAACCGACTTAGTTCTTTGTGAGAAATGAGTTGCCCCTATATGAAGTCAAGTCAAGTTTATTTGTGCAACAAGGCAGGTCGAGATGCTTTGCATGAATAAAACATAAAAATAAACAACCGGAGCAAAAAACAGAGGCATTACATTACATTACCAAATGACAAGTTGCAGTCCACCATAATTATTAATCTGGTTTCCAGATCAACAATAATCTTTTGTTTTGAGTTCTTCACAGGAACTCTAAACAAATGAGTTTTTAGTCTTGATTTGAGGAAACTCAGTTTTTGAGCAGTTTTGCTGTTTTCTGTAAGATTGTTTCAGATTAGAGGAGCGTAAAGACTTAATGTTGCCCCTCCATGTTTGCTTCTGGTTGTGGGCACAGAGAGTAGACTGAACCAGAAGATATAACTAGAAGGCAACAATTTGGCTTTACCAAAGGCCTGGGTAGACGTAGCTCCGCCTTCATGGCACAGCTCCTCCTCTCAGCTCATATTTCTAAGCTTCTGAGCTTCCACCTCACAGAGCAGCCCCTCCCCCTCAATGAACTCCTTCAGACTAGCCATCAGCAATTAGCAAGCACCTGGTGGAACTGCACATCAGCTGAGCTCATCATAGGAGCTACTCTCAGTCAACTCTGGTAAAAATTTTGTTAAAGGGTTAATAGATGAGAGACGTTGTGATAACTTCTTGAAGGTGAAGCTTCAGAAGTTTTTAAAGTGACAGAGCCCCAATTTTAAGGTATTAATTTACTAAGTTATATGTCTTTTAAGTCACATTTGATGTACTTTTTTTTAAACAGCTGTAGTTGAGATAGTTCCTGGATTGTGCTGCAATCCAGGAACTATCTAGACAGACATGTGTCTAGACAGCATGAAATTCTGCCCCTTTAATAAATGAAATCATAAGTGTTTTTTTTTTTTTTTTTTTTTTTTTTGCATTTACTCTGTTTTTTGTAATATTAGATTTGACCCAACTGTGAAAAAAACAAAACAAAAAAAAATAATCTGAAATAAATCTTTGAGGGGGCAAATACTTTTTCAACAGCCCTGCATTATTGTGACTAGTCGGCCAAGAATTAAAAAAATAAGTAAAAAGATCCCTCACACCTGCTTGTTGGAGTTTGAAACATCACTTGTTTTTCTAAGTTAATGTGTCGGAGTGAGCTTTAACGAGGAGGATTCTTCCTCGAAGTGTGGCGGCCTTTAAATCTGATGGCACAGGTTGAATTGCTGCATCTCCCATTTTGTTTATGAGTAAACGGCTGTTGGTGGCAGAGATTTGAAGCTAATAGCTGCTTTAAATAGCTGCAATTAGAGAGTAGCATGAGATATTTAATCACTCCAGACCAATTAGTCTGTAATCAAGCAGTGTCCAAGAGCGAGCACGTTTTTGTCCTCTACTGTTCCTCTGCAAGCGCCCGCCATATATTTCTCTGTGCGGCGGGAAGAGCAGTGATTAACACGTGGGGATATAGGCCCCTGTGGAACGCAGTAATGTGGAGTTAAATCAGGGAGAGAAGGAGGCGAGACATCGCGGCTAAACCTGTTATTGCAGTTTAACATATGTGGAAGGTTAATTTAAAGCAGAGGCGACGGTGAGCGTCCCCGCTTTATGTGTTTGTGTTAAATTTGCCGAAAGCAGAGGGGCTGGGTGTCTCTGTTTCTGCAAGGAAAACAACTGATATGTTTTTCTTCCTCCCAGCAACTCCAGGGGAGGAGGAGGCTTAAGGTTAACGAGCGCCTGTGATTTATTCAGTAAGCCTCACAGATTTTATATTGTGTTAATATCAGGCAAAGCCAAGGAGGAAAACCCGACTGATGCACGCGTTTGAAGCCACGGTGCGCGTACTCACACCTGTGCAAACAACTGGCTCCACTGGTGCCCCTGTTGTGTTAGTAATAGTGCTGTGTTCATAATGACATTTCCGATTGACTGGTCCTGGGGCCGGCCTGTCTACTCCCTCTGTCCAGGACGGAAAGTCGGCCGACCAGTTTGGTTTGGTTTGGACGCTCTTATCAAACAGGATGTGATGCTTTCCCACGATCTGCAGCCGAGGGGCCCACACACCAGGAAGAGAAAGCACCAGGTAATCATGTCTGCCGGAATTAAAGAAAGAAAAAACAAAAACAAAAAAACACAAGAATGACAAAGAGAAAAAATTGTCTTATTTTTTCAAATGCAACTTGGCTTTAAATACATTATCAGTCAAACCTTTTTTTTTCATGGCAGGACTACTTTAGGTTTTTTCTTGTGGTACTTTTCTGTCAGGCAAAAGTTTGAGTGGCAGCAAACATCTTGATGTCGTTGTATAACTTGATGTGAATGAGGCGACTAGCTGCTAATACACCATTGTTAGCTGGATGACTCGCTAGAGTTTTTTGAGTATCTGGGTAAGTGACAATGTATCGCCTGTCTGTCTTTGCCACTGGCTCACTTCTGTTTCCATTCCTTCCCAGGCCAGGTTCAAAATGTTTCCACTCGCCACTCGGGGGGTTTAAGGCTGTAGAGAACCATGTTGTGTGAAAAGCACAGCGCTGTTGGCAAAGGCACAATTAGATTTCCGAGGTTTCACAGTTTTTGGGATAGTTGATTGTGATGCAGCAGGATCTGCCAACCGTCCCTGATCGCCACGCTTTTTCTTTCAAGGGTTTTGAATTTTGTTCATGATGGCATTAAAAATATCTTTAGAATTATTACATTTGAATTGCTGAAACCTCCATATTCCCTGATTTATTATGTAAGTACATCAAGAGTCCTTATCAACCATGGTGTTTCATCTCTGCTGGAAAACAGAAACAAAGCAAAAGTTAGAATGATGCACTATGTGAACATCATATAAACTCAGCATTCGCTTAAATGTTTGTTCACCCTTGTTGACTTGCACATGGAGATTGGTTCTTCACCCAGGCGGTGTGATCATTTCTGACTGAAAATCCAGAATTTCTTAAACCTGTTTGTTGTTGGCAGGTGTGATGATCTCTGCGACCAGACAAAAAACACAAACAAATAAACATCAGGTGAAGAATTGTTGTTTCAGGAAATTTTCTATCTTCATTCTTCCTTTTGGCAGAAACATGATCCTCTTTAGATTTTTTTTTAAACTTTTTGACCAGTGATTAGGATAGATGACACAAGATAAACTCAATGGAAGTTGAGACGAATCAACAGAGATACATTTGACACATTTTGATCAACGTGATAAAAGCAAAATAAAATGGGGGGAAAAGCAGAGAAGTGCACATAACCAGTCGCATGATCTATAAAAGCATTTGCAACTTGCTCAAAGGAATGAGAAACTCCTTTTTTGATGTGCAGGAATGACACAATAATTTGAAGTTAACAATAACTTTAACCAAACGCAGTATAAATAATATCTATACAGAAACATTAATGGAAGTGTTGCGTTTGGAAAAATTAGCAATAAATGTTCCACATAGCAAAAATGTCTGGCTGCAGTGCATGTACACAAACAGCATGGCTCGGAAATTACAGGAACATTTCTTTATCGGTTGGTTAAAGTTATCTAACTTCAGTTAAACCTGTGAAAGTAGCTCACCTGTGTTGTTCTTCTACTTCTTCTCCTCAACGCCCAAAAATAGCAGAAACTTGATCTCAAAGACAGTAGCCACGTCCTGATAAGGACCAGGCCTGCTGGGCTCTCAGCACCATGAAGCTTTAGTTAGTGCACTGGGACTGTTGATAGAGTCTGGTTCACGGTTAATACGCCCAGAGCCGCCGCTCAGCTGCCGGATCACTTAAAAGAATCTTGCTGCTGATGCTGCTGGATCAAGCAGAAATACAAACTAGAGAACTCTGTGAACTACATGACAAATAACAGTTACTACATTAACTGTAAACCCTGCTGTTTGACACAATAACAAAACGAACAGCTCTCTTGACTATTATAGCATAATATTTAAAACTTCAATGAGGGGCGGCTACGCAACTTTTATGCCTCTGGATCACACTAGAACTGCTCATTATTGAAGTTTCACAAATCAGATAAAGGTTTCACAAATCCCACACTTGGTTTTAAAAAATCTGCTATTAGTTGAGAATTATGTAGCCCAGGTATTAAGAGTCTAGGTGATGTAGTTTTTTTTAGCTAGAGTAAATTAAAGATGCTGACGGTAGTGTAATATTAGGTGGAATCGCCCTTTAGCCAGTTCCCAAATTGAAAGCAGGTTGCATTTGGAAACCGACTTCAGCTTCATCCAAGCAGCAGGGGGTAACAATAAAAGTCTCTCATAAATGATGGTTGCATCGGCTGTAGGAGTTTGCCTTGCAATCGGAGGATCGCTAGTTCAATTCCTGGTCTACCTTTGAGGTTTCAGTTTGGTGTATATAAGGCATTATTAACTCAGAATCCTACATGTCACACCAGCAGTCTATTCTTTGTAAAAATCGCTTTTACAGTCTGGTTCACGGTTTTTCATTGTAGATATAAATGTCAGCAAAATTTGTCATTTCGACCAATTAGTACCGTTAATTTTAGGGTAATTAACAGCTGTCAATATTACAATATTTTTCTATGAATTTTATAATTACTTATATTTTTACAATATATTTCTGAGTTTTCTACATTTTATGACTATGAAAATTACTTGAAATATATGTTTGTTGAGTTATTATAATTCCATGTATTTTCTACGGTAATAAATTGTTTTGGATATTACTGTCAGTAACTTGGTATTTCATTGTTTTTTACCGTACATGTACTGACTTTTTTTGTTTTTACAGTGTGGCCATCTTCACTTGATATGTTAATCTTTTCTTTTTTTTTTGCACTTATTTTTTTTGAAGTGTGGCACAGCATTGGAGAAGGTTTACACCTATTTCAGTTTGACAGTTTTTGAATGCAGAACTTGCGAAATCTCCATTTGCTCTCACTGCATTCTGCTGTGAATTAGTTGCAGCATTAAGTTATAACTCTTCTTATGTAAGAATCAATTATCAAACTTTCACCTCATATGTTTGCACTCAAAGCCTAATTAATTATTTAAAAAGTAAATTCATTCAAATATAATGAATACAAATGTATCCTGAAATATTTCATTAATTTGTGGATTTTTATTTTGCAGGCTCCTCTGCTGCCCTGGTCGCTTTAAGCAGTGATTTCATTTGCTTGTGCCTCGGTCCAGCTCCGTCTGACCCAAGGTTTTCCCCCCTAACTCTTTTCGAAACATGTGTTTTCTGAACAATATGGAGGACAATATGCAGAGCTCCTCTTCAGAGTGGCGTGTCGATCCGAGTCGGTCTGTGAAAAACACGCTCTACTTAAGCGCAGCCTCAGCTCAGGTGAGCGTCAGCCGGCTTCCATTAGATGAGGCCTTTCCTGTGGAAATGCACCGGTGCTGCAGTCAGTTTGAACTGCCGGGCCTCCGTGAGAACCAGAATATCTTTAATCATATCAGGAAGGTCCAACTGTCAAGCTGGCCACCTGTGCTTTAACACACTTTTTTAACCTTTTATCACGCACACACACAGGCAGCCACACACTCACATTTCACATCACAAGGACAGTGCTTGTCAAGGGCATCAAGGCCAGGTTCTCTTACTGTGGGCTGTAAACAGACATACACACACTCGCACACAGGTGGCCTTCTGTTTCTTTTTTTTTTTTTTTTGCGGAGGTTTCTGAAAGGTGGCTGGAGCTCCCACAGCCTGTTGGCGTCAAGCGGCCTCTTTAACCCCCATCGGCCATGTTGACGTGTTGCCGATAGGAGAGAAGGAGAGATTGTCTGTAACGTAGCTAAACGACGCCACATGACTTTTTGTAGAGAAAAGGTAGAAAGGAGTCACTGAAACCTGCCTCGCTGCTTTTTACAGATGTGAGAAAGCATGAACACCCACTTAAAATTTACACAATACCAAAAATACAGCAAAGGAAAAAAATCCATCTGGTTCCAACTGTAAACACATGTTGTCCATCCAGTTGCCTCCTTTTTCTTTAATTAAAGCAGTTATCACCTTTTTTCTTTACTTCTCATGTTCACGTTGCTTTCAGTCGCCCTTCCAAGCGTCCGCCGCGCTGAAACCGATCAGCGGGAGAAGGAGCGCGAATCTGCCTCTGTTTTAGGTGAACTCAGAATAATTTTAGGCAAAAATATTTGCAGAAAGTCAGATAAAATTCCAATTGGCTACTTGCTTCACTCGGCCTGATTGGGTTTCTTTTCCACTTGTATCAAGTTTCTCCACATAAAACGTGTTTAAAGAGCCGGTTTAAGGTCTCAGCAGTTCACAATGTTCTTTTCTGTGAAATAAAACTGAGCCTCAAGCAGCACTGATTTCATCTCCATTTTAATTTTGCAGTGTCGTTGCCAAGACCAGTTATTTTACCAGGCTCTGTGTATTACCCCTTTAATAAACTATTAAAGATTTACAGAAAACAAAGCAGTTGCTCCCACCACCAGAAGCTAAAGATTTGAAATTAAACATCTAAGATTACCTAACTTTAGGAGTACTGCTGCTAAAAAAATATTGTATTTCTAATATTAATGTTACCTATAACATCGTTTTAACTGTTCATTGTGAACATTTGTATTTTTATCTTGATTCTGACACTTAAGAGTTAAAATTTTTTTTAGGACATACACCTATTACATTTTACATGCATTATACTGCAGTGTATAGAGGACAAGATGATTTTCTCATAGTCATGCTAGCTTGCCTGCTGGCAGGCCGCTTATATCTTTCAATTTGCAATCCATGTTCAAGAGTAACTAGCGTATCAGTTTTGGTTTTCACACCCTGACTGTCTTTTTTCTCAATCAGTAATATTTCCAAACATACAAATGTTTTCTCCTTGAAGCTTATTAACCAGCTGACTGGCAACAACAGGTGGGGGAGGGGCAACAATACAGCTGGATATCTCATTAAAAGCAGGTTTAACCTTTCACAACCTTTACCTGGACTTATATATTTCATTCCGTGATGAATTGTTTTTGCTGTTTTTCCATAATAACGTCAGCTTTTGGTATGTACCGGTTACTTTAAGCTAACCATTATAAACTTTTAAAAAATGGACGTTGAATTGTGTAAACATTCGATATTTAAGTCCTTTAAAAAGAGCCACTCTGAATTCCTTCTGCTCCCTCATGCCCAGTTAGCAGAAGCGGCTCTGTGTAAATCCTGGTGAGAAGGAATTTAAGGAAGGGTCGGAAAACAAAAAGGCTGGATTTCTGGATCCTGAAAAGCAAGTTTGAAAGATCACATTAGAGCAACATGTTGACCTAAGGACTTTACCCTGCCTTTCTCTCAGTCAACGCCAGATTATGGGACAAAAACATGACACGACACAGTTCTTCTGGGAAATTTTAATTGTTGCGACAACTCCTCACAAGCCAGTGGTCAAGTCCAACAGTGCAGTAGACCAAAGCGTACAAGTGCCCTCTTGCACTGGCAGGAGGGTGGTGAGGTAAATTCAGTGCTGAACGTCATTAAAAGTTTTTTCCTCCCCTCGTTTAAAGGCCGCCGGCAGAACAATCACTTCAGGTCAACGTAGACACATCGCCTGTTTGTTAAAATATTCCACCAATTTATAACCAAAAGCTTAATGATTCCCTCAAGTAAATCATTTACTGTTTAAGGAGAAACTCAAGAGACGGTGAGCTGCAGGGGGGAGGGGCAGGTGGGGGGTTCTTTCTTTCTTTCTTTTTTTTTTGTTGTTTTTTTGTTGTTGTCGTTTTGTTTTCCTCTTGGAAGTGCTCTTAGGTTTCATTTTAGCATCTGAACAGAATCAAATCAGACAATAAAAAGATCTGAGGAGAAAAGTCGATGGACGATGCGGGGGGGCGGCGGGGGGAGTGGTGGGGGGGGGGGGCTGCTTCAGTGCACATTCAGCATCTCTGTGATGAGCCTGACATGCTACATTTCAAACTATTTCAAACACCGCAAAGAGTTTAATGATATCATCAGGTGAGGACATGACCGGCAGAGCATAAAACACGTTCATTCACTAAAAGTGGAAACACAATATTTACAGAACTGCAAAAAAAAAAAAAAAAAAAAAAAAAAAACAACCAAAGAAACAAACAAAAAAAAAAAACAATGATTTTCAATAAAAAATATCTTATAATAATTACAATAATCTATTTACTCATATAAGTCCTTCCACATACCTTAATAGAACATTTGTGTCTCTGTATTTACAAGCTTAATTGTCTCGAATCAGAATTGTTCTTCTTTACAATATCAAACATGTTTAAGGTACCAGGGACCGGCGTCCCTTTTCAAAACACAAGTCATCTATTTTAAACAATAGATGTGAGGAACGTGTTCAGTGATTTTTTTTTCGTCTTCTTTTTGTTCTTTTTTTTTTCGCAGTTTAGTAAAGCTTTGAACTGGAGTCGCTCTGGCACAATTCACAATCCCTCGCTCTGCGAATCGGTTTCTGACAAGGAAAAGAAAGAAAGAACCTCGGAGAGAAGTTGATGCTTTCGCACCTTTAGAATTTAAAAAACTTAAAAAAAAAAAAAAACATAGTATGAAGGAGGTGAGTCCATTTTTTTCCCTTTCTCAGAATCAACAGTATGAAGGAAAAATATTATTTGAAAAAAAAAAAATAAAAGATTTTATTCGGGTTTATTTCCTCTCAGCGGGTGTGTGTGTGTGTGTGTGTGTGTGTGTGTGTGTGTGTGTGTGTGCGTGTGTGTGTGTTCTTCCCCCCCTCTTGTGACACTGTGCCTCCAGTTGGGTGTGTGAATCCCTGGCGAAGCTTTGCTGACTTTTGGAGCGGCTCTGCGCTGCCTGCACACCTGTGGAGGGGATGAATAGAGGCAGAGGGAAGGGAGGGTGAGCTGCACAACTCCAGACTGACTGGCGCCAACGACAAAACAGAGGCCATGCTTGATCAACAACCCAAAACAAACCGGGTCAAACAGCAACCAGGCTGGCCCGGTCCGAACACACACACACGCACGCACGCACACCCACATGCACTCCGGTCCTTCCCAGATGTGTGTAAAGAAATAATAATAATTAAAAAAAAACACATCCACAGCTAGAACTGCGAGCTGAGATTGAGAGAAACAGCGGGCGGAGTGAGAGAGAGAGAGAGAGAGAGAAAGTGTGTGTTTGTGTGACAGACAGAGAATGAAAGAGAGGGCGAGCGAGCGGAGGCTTTAACCCGCGGTTCTCCTCAGATTGCTACACCGGTGACAGTTATTGCGCAAAGCACAGCTGTCTCTGAGGCTGGTGCCAACTGCATGTTTAACAATTATTATTTTTACCTGACGTCTCTTGGCTTCACTGCTTTACACCATTCACACACACACACACACACACACACACACACACACACACACACACACACACATAGAGCCCACTAATGCTGCTGACTTATTGGGCCTTGGTTTGGATCCACTTTATTATTTACAGAATCCCAAAAAACTAAACTGAACCATTTGAAATATTTTCTTTTATACACCTCCATTAAAATTTGCCAGAGTACATTAAGGCCTGGAAAGTGTGTAATAACTGTTGTGTATGCAGTCTACGTTCCCAGTTGTTTATATGCATTGTATGTGTATTTATTGTCTGTTTCTGTGCATAATATGCAATATTCACCCCAGAGTTTATAATATATTTCCCCTTTAATCACTTTCAACTATATTCTATATTTCAAATGATTTGTATAAAACAAACTAAAATCAATTTCCTTAAAAGAAGAAGAACAAAAATATTTTTATCTAATATGATTTAAGTCCACTTACCAAATGCAGCATCAACGTCTCAGCGGCATAAAACTGAGTCCTCTGGTTTTTTCACTATTGATGTTCTCTGGGAAAAACAGTGAGGAGGGGAAAAAAAGAAAGAAAATGATGTAAAACAAAGAATCTCTCAGAATAAGAGTTATATATATATTTAAAAAAAATAATAAACAGGCCTAAACCAAGCAAATCCCCACATGATATTCAGTTGAGTCTGGTATTAACCAGCTATCTGTGCTGTAATAAATTCTCCTCCAGCCTATTGAATGACAAATTGGCCCTATTGTGCGCAGTGGAGTGGACTGCAGGCTGAGGCACTTCACCAATCCCGGGATGAGGTGGGCCTCTGACACGCTGTCATTATCATGCAAATCAGAAAAGCCCCGCAATCAAGTGTGCAATCTTGAGCCCACGTTTTTCTTTTCTTGTTTTTAATTTTTTTTTTTTTTGTTTGTTGTGTGTGTTTTTTTTTCTGCTCATATTTTTTAAGGCTTTCATAAACAGACGCTGAAAAATTTTCTCTCCTCTCTTCCTGTTTGTTTCTGCAGCGCTGGAAGGACAATGACATCTAACGGTATATGACGCGCTTTGTCTGAGACGGACGGATCCCCCCCCCCATACCCTCTCCACCCTCCCCCCCCCTCCCCACCACGGCCCACAGCTTACCTGGTGGTGGTCGATGTTGAGCACCGTCAGCGGCGTCCTGTTGGGGTTGGAGGCTGCCGGCGGGCAGGTCCGCTGAGGCGGCTGCTTCTGCAGGGAAGGGTGCGTCTCCAGAGCCAGCTGCAGGTCCAGGATGTAGTCTATGACATGCTGGAGGATCTCCACTTTACTCACTTTCTTGTCCTGCGGAATGGTGGGCACCAGGCGCTTCAGGCGGCTGTAGCAGTCGTTCATGTCGTACTGCAAGCAGAACAGATCCTCCTCTTCCATCCGGCACCGGGCGATGTTCAGGCTCTGCTTCGACAGATAGTGCAGGGAGAGCTGGCTGCTGCTGCTGCTGCTGCTGGAGGAGGAGGAGGATGAAGAGGAGGAGGAGGAGGAGGAGTCCTGGGGGTGGACTGGAGTAACAGCCTTCATCTTAAATAACCCGACGGCTCTCGCGCGGAGGCAGCGGCGATAATGAAACAATAAGAAACCCGAGCAGGAGCCGCTTCTGACACGGCAGCGACGACGACGGGAAGCTGCAGGAGACCGAGCGCGAAGCGAACCGAACCCGAAAGGCGGAATTCTGGTCTGTCAACACATCCCGCGAAGCCCCTCCGGTTCCTCTCACTTCAGCAGGCGCGCAGTGAGCGCAGTGAATAGACTTGGTTCATTTATAGAGGAGAGGGGAGGCGCCAAGGCGAGCAGGCTGACAGATCAGGGAGAGGAGCTGGTCAATCACCGGCAGCCCGCTGCCCACCGACCCGACGGCGGAGCCGAGAAAAAGGCGTGTCTCTCTCTCTCTCTCTCTCTCTCTGTTTCTCCTCTATGCGCGCGATGCGGTGGGCTGCCTATCCGCTGGAGGTACGTGCGTGCGTGTGTGTGTGTGTGTGTGTGCGTGCGTGTGTGTGTGTGTGTGTGTGTGTGTGTTGGGGGTGGGGGGTGAGTCAGAGAGCGGGAGAAATGGAAAGGGAGACAGAAAACAAACCGATCCGAGGAGGAGAGAGGAGTGCGGCTGTTCCAAGAGCGCACGACAGATTCTAGGATCGAGTGTAAAGAAAAGCGGAGCTTCGTGTCCGGAGGAATCCTGCAGCACATCGGATGCGTTCACGCCACCACCCCGATGGGATTCAGACCAGCAGCTTTTTAGTGTCCGGACTTATCGATGCGTAATTACGCGCAGCCACGTTCGCATCGATCACTGCGACAATGAAACACCTGCGCGACCAGGCAGGCCGGGTTGGGTCAAGGTAGCGATGGTCCGTCGAGACTAAAAATGACAACAAAAAGAGTCAAATAAACGTTACATTTGTGGCTTGCTGTCCAAAAAGTGAAGTTTTCGGTTATCATGGTGTCAGATTGACGCCATTTTACTCAAGTATATCATTCTGATGAATTAAAAAAATATATATCATGTTTGATTTGGATTTAGTATTGAGTTTTTGAAAATTTAAAATTCTTGACGTTTTGTTGACTTTATATAAAACAACTTAAAATAAAATCAAACAAAACTTAAGTTTTAAATCCTCCATCTCTTCTCCGCCTCTCTGCTTCCCCAGCCGCTCCCTGCTGGCCCTGCCGGCCTGACCGCCTGCATTCACACCAAACTTTTCCTTCTTCCTTTCCTTTTATCTCCCTTCGTTCCTTTCTCTTTCCTCCTTTCCTTCATTTTCCCCCCATCAGGCCGCAGTGCAGTAAAAATGGCACCCAACTCTGCATCCCTTCTGGATTAAATTGGATCCACCACATTCACTGCTGTCATGAGTAGTGAAAGGCCTACATGGCTTTAAACTGGAACTTTATTATTACCATCTTTTTTCCCCCAGCCTTTTCTCCAATGCCTTCCTCTGGCTGTCGCTGTTTTCCGGTTGCCATGGAAAGTCGCCGCTCTGCTCAGTCGTGTGTGTTTGCTGAGAGGAGAACTTCAGAGGAATCAGTGACATGAACGGTTGATGGTGAGGCTTCCACCAGCAGCGAGTTGCTCAGACTCTCTGTGCAGCAGGAGGATGATGGGGGATGAACAGTGGAGTGGATCTGTGGCCGTGACTCACTGAGGCCGTTTGTCTCTCAGCGATAGCGGTGATAAAACATCAGATTTCTATTAGATTCTTCTTGCGATTTTTAGAACGTTACAGCTGACAGGGAGATTTCCCCTTTTTGTGAACTGATTGATTCATGCGGTTAGGTTTGAAAACCTAACCCTGCCCCCTGACCTCTCTGCTGTCTATGCTCTTTGGTCCTCATGATGCCGTTGTTTACTGAATGTTCTCGAACAAACCTCACATGCCCACAGAAAAACAACATTTTTTTTACATCTAGATATATTAGTACATTCAGGAAGTAGTCTACATCGCGTGCACCAGGTTTTATTTGGTGCTTCAGAGTCAAAGGTGGCTGGATAAAAATACTCTTTGTCTGTGTCAAGTGGTAAAAACCGAGGATAATTTTATAATCGTGATGTTTTAAGCCATTGTTTACTTCCAGTCTGTCTTCTTCTAGTGCAAGACGATTGATGCACGTCTCACATCAACGATGTAAACGTGAGATAAAACGCGACGCAACTGGTCAGACCGCAGGAGCCTGGGGAACAATCGGATCAGATCAGACATTCCTCCGTTGTGTGAACGTAGACACCGTCCTGACATCCTCACAGATTTGACTGAAGCTGCTTTTATCTGGCAGCCTCTACTAGAAAAACCTTGGGAAAAATGGAATAGCTTATCAAAACCTAACAAGACAACAGCTGACAAGAGGGAAATTCGTTGTGCCTCGTAGATAACCGGGCCTCAGAGGAACCTTATTTGCTGCATTTGGTGGCATTTTCAAGGTTGATCATAGCCAACCTGGTTGGAAGCACCTTGCTGTGACCTCTGTGAGGCACTTTGACCCTTTGTGCTCAGTGCATCTTCTACTCTTGCTTGTTGTTTTGTGAAATTTTAAGCGGTGATAAATAATGACAAGACGCTGTTCTGCTAGAATAAATGTGTCCTTTTATTCCGCCACAGATTACAGCAAATTCATTCACACAACAAACAATGCGTAATGCTTAGATTCTTTCAATCCACTCTTACTGTGACACAATGAACCGGAGAGTCGAGAGTTCAGGGAAGAGCTGCAGCAACACGTAATTGGGTGTCCGTACTCCGACTCTACTCTGACTCTGACTCAACAATGGGACTTTTCTGCTTTTTATACTCATTACCAAAAAAACCTCAAATGAAAGAAGAGAATGGCCATTTCCCCTCTTCCAGACGGGTTAGCCAATCAGAATGCTACTTCCCTGCCCACGACTTGACCATGAGCTGAGAGAGTGATCAATTAGCATACTGTACTCAGTCTCCTGTTTTCCATGTCTCGACCCCCGTTGTACATGGGCTCCAGAGGCGACGAGCATTCCCTGATTCAATCAACATACAGCACTCAACTTCTTAAAATATGTTGAAAATGTATAAAATGAGCATGAAACATACAGTTTATCAAAGAACATAGAAAATTCTCATATCACTTGTTTTAGCCAAGTCCTCTGTCTCTGGTGTGCAAACCATCCAAAGTTTACCACAAGAAAAAAATTCAGAGCTGCTCAGAACCAAGGTTTTAATCGTGCGTTTGGATTTCTTTCTCTTTTTTCTTTTCTTTGCTCGTGTTCTGTTGCTCTGCTGTGCTTTCTCTCTGTTTACTTCTCCAAACGGGGTTTGTTCCGACCCCACTTCCCCAAAGGCTTACAGTCGCAGTGACATGGGACTCATGCCTGGAAACCAGAACCTCATTAGCTTAGCAGAAAGGTGATAACCTGACAGGTGAAGTTTTCTTTGTTGTGGCTGCACCGGCGGGAGGCTGAAACACAGCCGGCTCCTCTGAGCACACGCCTGGGCCAGAAACTCAGCCGAAGAAAAGCAAGTGTTGCACGAGGCAGGATTTCATCAGGATCCTCTTGTGGTGTGCCTTTAATGCAGCAACTATGAGCAAAGTGGAAATTGCATGATGCGGACATCTGTGTGAGAGGTTTTCCTGGGTGGTGGCATTTCCACACTTTCAGGAGAGCCAGCTCCTCTCAGTCTCATGTGACACCAAAAACATGAGCTCATGCTGGATGCTCTTTTCTTGGGTAAACGCCGTTCAGACGGCAATATTAGTTGGTATTAAAATGAGAACTGAACGCTTTCAGAAGGAGTTTCTGCCTGAAGAGTTAATATTGAAGCGACTGAAGTATCGCTTTGTGCACATCAGTAAGTCTGAAGTGAAACCTGTGTGTCACTAACTGCCATCCATCACAAATGTTTGCCAATCCTTGTCTGAATTCTGCTAATGGAAAAAAAAAACAAACAAAAAAACCACAATTTTGAAATTGTGGCATCTTGTTCAGACATCGGCGCGACGAGTTGTGAGTGACTTCATGTTCAGCATTTTGTTACTGTTGCGTTTACTTGTATAAAGTGTCTGCTTAGCAGGCGCTGAGGAGGAATCGCTCAAATTAAAAAAAGCGAATTTCTGTTTTCTGGCATTTTGTTTGAAGCGGTCTGTCTGTGAAGACGGGGGTCGTATTGAATTGCTGTTGTGGTCCATCTTGCTGAGCACTGACACCTCACAGTAACAAGAAACGTAGAAGAAAACTGATATTAAAGTGGTTGTTCCCCCTGGAATCAAATCTGAGACGATTTGATGCAAGTCGGATTCAGGACGACGTGTGGAAGTGGCTCAAATCTGACTGAAAAGAACCAGATGTGGCCTCATCTTCATACTTATTCTAAAAAGCCTGACCTGGGAACTTGACCTCCTCAAAAAAAAACAAAAAAAACAAACAAACATCAGATTCAGACCTAAGCTGACCGCAGTGTGAATGTAACCAAAGTGTCAAAGCTGATTAGATTTACTGTGTTTCAATCAGTTTTGTTCAGACAGAAATTACACATGCATATTAAAGATAAAGTTCTATCCTGTCTGAAAGCCTGCAGTGCAGATCTTAGGAAAATCTAAAGAAACATAACCGCTATTAGAGTCTGCAACATCTTTGCTTTGGGTGTTGATGATATCCAGCAGTCATGTTATAACAGACTCATATCTGCCGCTGACGGCTTTATCTGCCTGGGCGATTTTGCTGTACAACATAATATCTCTTCAGAAGTGAACAAACTGGTCGTCTGGTTGTGGTTTTGGTGGGAAGGAACCGACTCTCCAGCTTCCATCAGCAGCTGATGCAGTTTAACCAATAGCCTGTAAATAATCCCCAACAGCTGGTCTGTCTGGTTTGTGATGAGTGGTGACAAAGGTTTTTATTATTATTTTTTTATATATCTATATTTTTTTTCATCAAGGACAGTATCAGGTGTCTGAGCGCCGTCTGAAGACAGATTTGTCCACGATCTGTCTCAAGCGAAGCTTTCTGTTGCTCTCTCCAGGTGACACAGTTTGCACAACATGTCTTATTCCCTGATGGCCTCCGAGCTAAACACAACAGCTCTGTGTGTCATTTACACAGGTGCATTCACTGTTTACACTGCACGACCTGAGTAACCATCCACACGCTCACACACCTCCTTGCAAACACACACACGCATACACAGATGCAAGGTGAGTCACCAACAACATATGTTGACATAAATATTAAGAAAACTGAAGGCATTAAGCTCAATTTGAACCGAATGGAAATGTTGTGTTAGAAGAAAAAGCGGTGAACTCCCCTCCCAGGTGGAGCGCGTGCCACTCCACCTGTGGTGATGATCTATTTTCATATTAAGTGCGCTAAAAGTAGGAGCTGTGTTCTGGGCCACACTCATTTAGGTCACCAGCAGT